AAAATAATGTGTTACGACCTACTTAAAACTGTTTAAAATAGCTACTACTAAAGGCTATATGAAATTTAAATGGCACTGCTTCTTTTAGTAAAGCAACATGATCAGACCAAGGCATGAAGGGACCAGAGGAGTAAGAGGGTTGTAAAATGAGGAAAATTCATGTCATTATGCAGGAAGTAGGTTTCTAATTCAACACAATAAGCAGTTCTAGCTTCTGGTCTAGACTTGGTGGTTGTTTGGGGGGGCAAAGAGACGCTAAGGACAGCAGTATCATAAACGAGCCAAGAGTCTGTGTGCAGCCAGGGGTGTGCCAGTCGGTCGCCGACACCACAGTCCTGAAACCCTCCCCCAATCCCAACGACGTCCACAAAACTAAAATCAATACTAAGAATGCTACAAGAGCAGTCTGAGTGTGATTCTAACTGCAGCTGTATCACCCACCTTGCTTCTATAATAAGAGAAATGATGTTAGCATTATATAACACTTGTAAATTTATGTTCATGTTATAAATATATATGAAAAATGGGCCATCAAAATATACGCGTTACAAATTAATAATAGACCTACTTTTGCATCACATTCTTAATTTACCAAAGACAGTATAAAAAATGTTCCTAATGAGTGGTGCAAATGTATACTGTGTTAACGAGACTCTATAATTGCCATAACCACCTCACGTTTCGTGTTCTGTGACGAGCTGGTTTCCCTCCGACTACACTTGCCTTCTAGGAAGTGTCTCCCGTGACCCAGCGAACTGTTGGGCTCCATAAAAGGGAAGCAATGTCTTGACCTGCTGAGCGAATATCAGCTTTTGAAGTTTTTTAAGCAATGTTTTATCGCATAGTGACGAATAACAGGATAAATGATAAAAGTGTTAAAGTAGTCGGTATTGGCCTAACTGTCTAGATATATCCCTGGAGTGATAAGAGAAAATCACGAAAAATCCTAGCAAAGAGTAGCCGGTCTTCGAAAATTCGAAATACGAAGCTGGAATGCTAATCATAACAAACTGGTGTTTTGCTAAAAAGGATAAGATTAGAGAATAGAATTAAAACAGCTTTGAAAGGAAATAAGCAAGAAAATCCTTGTATCATTACAGGGAGGATAGTGGGATTTTTTGTGATTGCAAGGAAATGTCGGTTCTGCATAGGCCTCAAATTTCGTAGCCAGCTTAAACCACTTTCGTTCGGAGAATAAGATCTGTGTGATTGCTTTATGCAACCTAAAGCACGCCATAAACATTAATAACAACATTAATTTAATAACACCAAAGTAACCAAATACAATGGCCTACTAAGAATATCCCTTACTCGTAAATAATATAAAGGCCTACATCCTACTATTTCTGCGTTCTAGACTGATGTCCAGAGCTCGCATTCACTTATATAAACATTAAGAGTGGCAGTGTCAGTGCCCAGAGTCCTTTGCGACGTCTAGTCACGTATTTTAGAAATAGTTAAACATATTTATAGTCCACAAGTAGCCCAGATTTCTGATTGGAAAATAGTAAACATTGGTTTATTTAAACAGAGGATAAACCACTTCAAAGCCACAATGTAACAAAGACGAAGACATTAAAACAGACATATTAGCTTATGAATATGGAACAAAGATGTGTTTCACGTCGATCTATTACGAGTGAAATAAACGGACTGTTCGACCGGAGGATGGAGAGGGGAGGCTTTACTATTTAATGACCAAATAGGCTACCGAAAATTTAAATAGGCTTTTAGTTTCTGGTATTGTTTCAATATCCTACGACATCTAGTCCTGTAAACGTTTGAAGCTACTACAAATACTGCAACTCTTCCACGTTTAGCGTATAAAAACACAAGAATTTATAATACTCAGGAATTTTAAGTGATGTTTATAACAGATAACAATTCAGATAATTTATGCAAGACTTGAAAATGTATTTCCAAGCAGAAGGGACTTTCGACTTCCACAATTACAAAACTACGACTTAAACAAATTCCTACGTAAAATATAAGACAGGTTTACTTTAATGTGAAATTGGTGTAGAAAGTTATTTCCTTTAAACTGAGCGCGCGAGACAGAATGTGTGTATGTGAAATGTTTCTACTGCCACTTTCGTCTGCCAGCTATTAGTTGTCGCTGATGACAGTCAAAGTGACGTAACAAGACACAGACTACTTCCAGACAGAAAACTCTGTCACTTGGAATTTCCATAACAACACAAAGCAGAACGTCTGAAGGAGGAGTGAAGGCAGAACGAACACTACAGACGCTTTCAAACACAAAGAATCTACGAAGCTGTTGGAACGCAGCCCTTAAAAATCTCTCCAATACCTGTAAATACACTTATCTGCTACTTTTATAATAAATAAATAAAGGTCATCTGACTTGGCATCCTACATTTTCTAGAGTTTTGCAAAATTAAAAATTGGAGAACTTCCTCGCACAGAGAACAAAGCAGAACATGCCTTCTAGCCGTTTTCTCGTTGTTTTAGGTACTCACTCTGATTGGCATATAGTGATGGGTAGTAGGGAGAGAAACTGTGTCCATTTCCAGGA